TTTTTTTTTTTTTTTTTGGCCTTTTTTTTTTTTTTTTTTTTGTCTGGGAAGCTCTTTATTTCACCATCTATCTTGACTGATAATCTGGCTGGACTGAGTAGTTTTGGTTTCAGATCTTTGTTTTGCATTACCTTGAATANTTCACTCCATTCCCTTCTGGCCTGTAGAGTTTCTGATGAGAAGTCGGATGACAGCCTTATGGGAGCTCCTTTGTAGGTAACAGATTGGTTTTCTCTAGCTTCCTTTAAGATTCTCTCTTAAATTCTTGGTATTTTATAACACTTTTTTTTTTTTTTAATATATCTTTATTGATTTCAGAGAAAGGAAAGGAGAGGGAGAGAGAGAGAGAAACATCATTGAAGAGAGAGTCATTGATCAAGCCTGCAACCGGGCATGTGCCCTGACCAGGAATCGAACCCCGATCGCCTGGATCCTAGGTTGACGCTTAACCACTGAGCCACGCCCGGCCGGGCATCTTGGCATTTTAATTATGATGTGTCTGGGCATGGGCCTTTTTGGATTCTTCTTGCTTGGGACTCGGTGCCTCCTGAACTTGTGTGACTTTTTCCTTGACCAGATTAGGGAAGTTTTCTGCCATTATTTTATCAAACAGGTTCTCTAACCCCTGCTTACTTTCGACCCCCTTTGGCATTCCTATAATATGAATATTGTTATGTTTCATGCTGTCCCACAGCTCCCTTAGACTGTCCTCCTGCTTTTAAATGTTTTTTTGTTTTTGGGTCTCTGACTGAGTGATTTTTTTCTACCCTGTCTTCTAATTCACTGATCTGATCCTCAGCTTCCTCCAATCTGCTGTTTATTCCTTCCAATGTATTCTTTATTTCTATGTCAGTCTTCATTTCTGCCTGGTCATTTTTTATAGTTTCCATATCTTTTTTTCATGCTGTTGAGCATCCTTACAATCAGTATTCTGAACTCTATATCTGAGAGATTGCTTATCTCCATTTCATTTAGCTCATTTTCTGGAGAATTCTATTGTTCTTTCATTTGGAACTTGTTTCTTGGCCTCCGCATTTTGGCTACTTTTTGGGGGTTTGTTTTTAAGTGTTAGGTAGGTCTGCCAGGGACTCTCAGTCTTTTTGTTGTTGTTTTTTAAATATATCTTTATTGATTTCAAAGAGAGGAAAGGAGAGAGAGAGAAAAAAAATCAATGATGAGAGAGTAATTGATTGGCTCCCTCCTGCATGCCCCGGACTGGGCATGTGCCCTGACCAGGAATCAAACCCCGATCACCTGGATCCTAGGTCGACGCTCAACCGCTGAGCCACGTCCAGCCAGGTTCAGTCTTTTTGGAGGGTCTCTGGTACAGGTGAATGTCAGATGCAGTTTGTGACTGGCCCTGAGTACCCTGTTTGGGGCTATTAACAACCCTAGGCTTGGGGTCTCCACTGTTGGGGCTGGGTGCATTTGGACAGGACCAAGACGCACACCAAAGTCTGCTTTTCTAAGGCCTGGGTCCTGAAGCAGATCAGGCAAAGACTCAAAGAACCCTGAGGTCTGCTTCCACCTGCAGACTGGTTAATCTGATTCTCTTAATGAGCCTCAAGGTGGAGCAGCTGGTTGTTATCAGTCTCTTAACCAGCCTTAGGCTGTACAAACTCATCTGGGCAGGGTGAGAGGCTTTCCAGCAGGGTAGGGCAATTGCTTCCCCCTCAAGCAAAAGCCAAAAATTAGCAGCAGAGCCTGGCCGGGCATGGCTCAGCCATTGAGCCTCCACCTGGGATCCAGGTGATCAGGGTTCGATTCCTGGTCAGGGCACATGCCCGGGTTGTGGGCTCGATCAATGACTCTTTCATCATTGATGTTTCTATCTCTCTCTCTCCCTCTCCTTTCCTCTCTCTGAAATCAATAAAGATATATTTAAAAAAAAAAAAAAAATTAGCCGCAGAGAAAGATGTCCTCCATCGTCTGGGGGAATGACTCGGCAGAGGAATCCAGAAGGGCGTCCCCTGATCTCACTCTCCAGAGCCCACAATCTCAGACTCTCCCCACACAGCTCCAGTCTACTCCACTCCACCTCCACCGGAGCCCAAGGTGAGTGGCTGCACTTGAAACATTGTGTGTTGGCCCTTTAAGAGGGTGCCTGCAGTTCTAGCTGCCTATCCCTGGCAGACAGAAACCCAGCTGCTTTTCACAGCCAGATGTTATGTGGGCACCTTTCTCAGTTCTGGTGCTTTTGGCTGGGAAGCCCAGCCTGGGGTTTAGGCCCCAGAGTCCTCAGTGGGAACCCCCTACAGTTGAGATATCCCTCCCCACCTTCAGCTGTCTCCTGGCCTCTCTGGCCTCCGCACGTGCTACTAGTCTCTATGCAGTCTCTTTTCTACATCTTGGTTATGAGGGTGCTCTCCAGCTAGTCTTCAGTTGGTTTTCAGGATGGTTTTTCTATGTTTTAGTTATAAATCCAGATTGGTCCCAGGAGAGTGTCAGTGTAGCTTCCACTCAGTCTGCTGCCATCTTGGCTCTCTCCCATAAAGCCTATTCCAATTTCCATAATCTAATCAATCCTTATGTTGTAGGTAGCAGGAACAGCACTAGGTGTCTGACCTGTGGGGTCAGACTGGACATGGGTTCAGCAACCTCTGTACTTGAGTTCTGGCTCGGAAAGAATTCAGAGCCAAGACCCAAACTGTAAGAGACCATTTATTTATAAAATCACAGAGGTAGAAGTAATTCATAGAAGAAATGGGCTGAGGACAGGAGTTATAGAAGCAAAGGAAGAGCCCTTGGAGCTTGGGAGGAAGCTAATGGTAAGGCACCTCTAAGGAAGGGCCTGGGAGGGGAAGGGAAAAGTGCCAGTGTGCTCCCTGGAGGGAGATTGTGATGGCCGGGTTGGTCTTCCTTCCTGAGGGTTTTAAGGGTGGAGATTTTAGGGGCGGTCCCAGGGGAAGATCTTAATAGAATATTCAGCGGTTTTCCAGGTGTGTCCTTTCAGGGTTGTGGTCTTCAATGATTGATTGTTCTGCACCAGGGCAGGGGGTCATTATTCAGGACAGCTGGTCCTAAGATTAGCTGTGGCTAGCTTTGCTGCTATTCTGGGCCTGGAGCTGAAATACAACTGAGGCCTACATTGTTATCTCTAGGGAAGAAAGGTCAGGGGGTCCAAACTGAGTGACCAGCAATATGTTTGGAGAGGAAAGGTCCCCCTGGGGGCAAGGTCCCACCCTACAGTTGTCCTTTACTAGGCACCCAGGGCTTTCACTCTGGTGACCTTCTGTACCTGGCCCATCGTCCTTGCTCTGCTCATGTCTGTCAAACTGCCTGCCACACTTACATATCTATATTCTTCTTTTTTTTAATTGATTGATTCTTGTTTGTATCCTGACTGAGGACTGAACTCGAAACTTTGGCATACTGGGATGATGCTCTAACCAACTGAGATCTGGGACCAGGGCTTCACCACAGTTCATAAATTCCCATATCAAGGAATCCTGGAAACTTCTCTCTTCTGTCTCCTGATCATTTTATTCACTCAAGTAAAAAGGCTTTAGGTCACTAGCACAGAGTCAAGCCAAGGGATCTTGGCCCTGTTGTCAGACTTTAACTTGACTTAACCAGCCTGATTGTGGCTCCAGCTAATTGCTGGTCAGGTCTCTCCTTGTAATCACTTCCTTCCAATCTTCTCCCAAGATGGGTAAATAGAAAAGACTTGCTTGGGGCCCTTTAATGTTGGTGTACCTACAGGGAGTCACTTCCGCCCATTCCGCCTTTTGCTGTACTGAAACCTTTGTTTTAATCCCGTTCATGTCCATTTTTGTATCCCAAATTTTTTTAAACTAAAGGTTTCCACTCTGGTGAAAGGAGTCCTGTGACTCGCCTTTCTCCTTGTTTCACCCTTATTAATATTTTAAAACGCTGTAGGTATCCCATTCTGTGTATTTGATTTGGAACACCTTGCTTTTTAAGTGCACACTAGAGCGAGCCTGCTTTCCCAGTCTGAGCTATCCCAGATTTGGCTTAACAATTTACTCCTGCCCGGCGGGGCGGGGCGGGGCTCAGCGGCTGAGCGCCAACCTAGGATCCAGGAGATTTCAGGTCAGGGCACATGCCCAGGTTTCCGGCTCAATCAATGACTCATCACTGATGTTTCTATCTCTCTCTCTCCCCTCTCCTTTCCTCTCTCTGAAATCAATAAAGATATATTTAAAACAAACAAAAAACCCCACAAAAAACAATTTATTCCTAAACACTGGGCATTGGCGGAGTTTCCCCTTAGCTGTTTGAACGCTTGCTCCTCCCGGCAGGGGAGATACTATATCCTGCGCTCAGAAAAGGAACCCACTTTTCTTGCTACTCTACTTAAAGGAGACCCAACCTAGCGCTGAGGCGGGCGGTGCCCTGCCGGGCGCTCCCCACCGCCTCCCGGTGGCGGCAGGCGGGGGTCACCGCTGATTAGCTCGGGTCTCGGTTGAGGGCCGCGCCCCCTTCAGCGGTAGAGGAGAGTGATAGGCTGCGGGAGACCCATCCCCCTCGCCCATTGGTGGGAGCAGCGAAGCCCGGGATTGGTGGAGCCCGTGGGGCGGGTTCACCTCCCCTCGAGCTCGGGCTCGGGTGAAATCAGAGATGGCGGCCGCAGCTTGGCTTGGGGGCGCGCGAGCGACGAGCTGGAGGCTGCGGACGCCGCCGCTGTCGCCGCTTGCCCGCCTCGTTTCCCAGCGGGCCCACTCGCTGTTGGCGGTGGACGATGCGATCAACGGGCTAAGTGAAGAGCAGAAGCAGGTAAGGAGCCTGGCCCTTTTCCCGGCCCCAAGGCCTCCCGCCTGCCCCCGTCTCCCCGCTTCACGGTCGCCTCGCGCTCCGCTGCCAGCCGCCACCCAGCAGTGGCCGTGCGCCCGGCGGCGCGAGTTAGATGAGGAGTGGGACAGGAAGCCCCTGGGAGACCGATGGTGTTCTGGTGGAGTTTGGGGAGGGGCCACCCGTGTGTGGCAAAAGGACCCTCGGTCTGTCTGAAGTCCGCTTACACCTGACGCCAGGGCTGTGGTTCTCAAACAGGTTCACCGCTATTCCTAATAAATCTTTTCCAAATCCACACCTCTGGGTTTTGAAATGCAGTAATCCCATACCACAGAGTGTGTCTCACATCCGTGTTGTTCCTCTCTCCCTCTCTCCCTCCCACCCTCGGAAAAGCAATGGAAAAAATATCCTCGAGTGAGGATTTTAAAAAATACTTGAAAGACCTCATTAGGAAAGGAGCTGAACTGTAACCGTTCCAAGAGGGAGGAGACTGTGCACTTGGGCACAGTTGCCCCCGCCTCCCCCGCTCCCCCGCAGGCGATTTTCCTGTGGCAATTGGGAGCAGGTGCCAGTACCCCTGGGAATTCCAAAGTCTATTTGGGTTTACAGACAACGGGCAGAGCTTTAAATCACCGCGGAGAACCAGAAATCGGTTCTAGTTCTAGTTCTCAAACTTTCTTGCCAAGAGGAATTTCTAATCTCTTTGAGTAACCCCTTTTAGACAAAAGGCAGAAAAGAGCCTGACAGGCGCCTAGAACTGAAGGGGGCACAGTAAAAGGGGGTGGGTACTGGGGAAGGCTGGAAGGGTTGGCTTGGGTCGGTTCATGCAGGTCCAAAAGGGGTAAAGATGATCTCTGAGGAAGCACAAACTCTAAGTTTCAGTCTGATTCTGTTTGGTGAGGTGTCTTGGGGCCTGTTTCCTGAATGTGTCTTCAGTAGTGGAGATGCTATCTTCAGTGGCAATAATGTACTGTTTAAGAGCATCTGTCCACCTCTCTTCCTCTAGCTTCGTCAGACCATGGCTAAGTTCCTTCAGGAGCACCTAGCCCCCCAGGCCCATGAGATTGATCGAAGCAATGAATTCAAGAACCTTCGAGTGAGTCTTGAGGCCCACGCTGAGGGGGCAGGGGGCAGTCTGGGAGCTGGGATGAGCTGGCAGTTACACTGCAGCCTAAAAGAGCTCATGTAGTCTTCTGGTGAATGAAACCTCCTTAAAAATGCAGCCACTTTTTGTGAAGCATTTGGGTTTCATTGTTCCAGGTATCCAGGCACCTGTGACTGGCGACCTTCTTACAACTCACTGTGCTCACTCCATTCTGTTGGCAGGAATTTTGGAAGCAGCTGGGAAACCTGGGAGTCCTGGGCATCACAGCTTCTGGTGAGTATACTCTCATTCCCTAAAGAGAACTTCTCTTGCATGCCCTTTAACACCAGTCCCAAAAGAAGCAGAAAAAGAGTGAAAAGATTATACTCAAAGAAACCTAGAACTTCCTCCCCCTTGGTTCTGGCAAGGCACCCATTGACTGTCAGCCCTTCTGTTTTTTTAGGCAGTGACATTGAGAAGGCAAAGAGATTAGGCCAGTGTGGTTCACTTAGATCAGGATCACTTGGACTCTTGAAGTCTACATGCTTAATAAGCTCCCCCAGGTGATTTTGGCAGCTTAGTACTTCAGTTCATTCCCTGAGTTCTATCCTACCAATAGCATCTAGGCACACAGCATGGTCCTGGGCTCATTTAGGAACCGATGGTGGTATGTAGGAGAGGGATGCCTATCTGAGCCTCCGCATGAGGTGGCCAGATGATATATGTTCAGTACACTGTTCCTGGGCCTGGCCTATGTCCCCCTCTGGGACTTACTACTTGTTTCTAGGATTAAAGGGCACGGAGCTGATGGGCTCTGATTTGGATGTTGGCCTTTGAAGGCGAGGCCCAGCTTTGCTTGCTGTGCCAGTAAATAGATGAACCTATGGCCTTACCAGCCAAAGCCTGGTTGGCACACCCTGCTTCAGCTTATATTCACTGGGCATTGGAATAGAGGTGGAACACAATATACTTCTCCTTACATCTTCCCCTTACTACTTAGAGGCAGTTCTTGGATTTGAGCTGGTCATAGAAAGTTACATCATGAGTAATGATAAAATGAAACCACTTAAAAATTAATTTAGACCACCTTAATGGAAAATAGTAGAGGGAAGGCCACTGGGAACTTCCAAACAAGACTCTTTCTTCCACTGTGTCTTATGGGTTTATGAACCCCCCAAAAGAATATGCTTCTGAATCAGATGGTAGAAAGAGGTAGTTACAAATCAGAACCTTGAAAAGAATGCCAGATATGAGTTCTGCTTTCTACATGGTTGTCCTGGTTTCCAGTGTCACCACCTGTGGGCTTTCCTTCCTGGAATTGCAGGGGGAGGGCCAGCCTTTCCAGAGAGTCTAGGATGAGCCTGACTTCTTGATCAGAGTGAACATGTGCAGAGGATCTCACCAGGGTTTACCCAAACAGCAGGGCAGCAGTTGGTACCAGATGACCCAGCCACTTTGATTCTAGATCTACTGCCAAGGACAAGGCACATTTTTATGAGGAGTTCTGAAATTCCCTACCAGCATCTCTCCCACCTTCTGCTGCACTGCCCACCAGATTTTCTCTCAGGCTATGGTTCTCCTGTTCCCTGTTACTAATCTTGCTTTTTTCCTTTTCTCTCTTTTTTTTTTTAACTTTTTTCATTGAGATATAACTGACATGTAACATTATGTAAGTTTAATGTGCACAGTGTGTTGATTTGATAGCCTGTTTCTTTAGGTCCAAACCTATGCTATGAAAATCTCACCGTAGGCCTTTTATACACACATCCTTTGCTTTGTATCTGTTCTTACTGCTTTAATCTTCCCTCTTGTTTATTGCCCTTTTTCTTTCTTCATTCATCCGCCTCTGCACTTCAGGTTCTCTTGTCCTCATTAAGAGGTCTGTCTGGGATAAAGTGGGAGTTGCAATGACTGTTTTCTGAACCCCCTCAGCTGACAGAGGCAGCAGACATAGCTGGTTCTGTGTGTTTGTAAGTAAATTCCATGGCATCAACCTGTTGACTTTGTCAGCAGGAACTTGGAATAGGTGCTACCAAGGTATTTTTCTGCTATCTATAAATGTTAGGTTCCTGTCAATGTCCTGGTTTAATCTGGGCTGCCTTTTCTGTTCCCCTGAACAACCTCCACTCCCAGCCCAGTATGGCGGCTCTGGCCTGGGCTACCTGGAACATGTGCTGGTGATGGAGGAGATATCCCGAGTGTCTGGAGCCGTGGGACTCAGTTATGGTGCCCACTCCAACCTCTGCATCAATCAAATTATGCGCAATGGAAATGAGGCCCAGAAGGAGAAATACCTCCCCAAGGTGAGGAAATGGGAATGGAGAAACACACGCTGATCTCACAGTGCAACCACCAACCACGAGGCACCCTCCCCTGTTGGCAAGGGCCAGGCAGACTTGCTTTCTGTAGCCCACTGCCCTGAACCAGATATGGTTAGGAAGAGGTCAGGTGTTTGCTTTCAAATACTTCAGTCAAAAAAATTAAAAATAGGGCCAGACCTCCTGAGTTCATCACTGGACAACATCTGTAGAGAGCACTTTCAGAAACTGAAGACTAGGACTTGCTTCCTGTGCAAAGGGACTAAGAAAAGGAGAGGTTTTTTTCAGACTTATAGATACTGGGCTTCTCTTGTAAGACTTACCAATACCCTGGTCTTAGAAGTTTGAAGCAGTGTCATGTGAATAGGCAATAAGTAGATATTCCTATAGATATTTCTGAAGTCATAACCAGGCCTTTTGGGTTTTTCCTTGCAGCTGATCAGTGGTGAGTATATTGGAGCCCTGGCCATGAGTGAGCCCAATGCTGGCTCTGATGTTGTCTCTATGAAGCTAAAAGCAGAAAAGAAAGGTGAGTCCTCTATTGACTTGGGAGTTGAAAGGGACAGAGGGACAGACCTGCTCAGGGTTAGGGAGCAATAATTGAGGTTGGCCTCTGCTAGGTTTCTAGAACTGTTTCCAGCTGGGCAGCTTTCTGCTTAGCACTAGGTTTGTGGGCTGACTGGCTGAGACAGGCCAACATGGCTGGTGTTAAGTAGCCAAATTCCTGTTCTTAGGAGATTACTACGTCCTGAATGGCAACAAATTCTGGATCACCAATGGCCCAGATGCCGATGTCCTTATCGTCTATGCCAAGACAGACCCGGCTGCTGTACCAGCTTCTCGGGGCATCACAGCCTTCATCGTGGAGAAGGTGAGTAAAGGGGGAGTGGACGGTGGGAGGCCTTTGTCTCCTGACAGTGGTGCCAGAGATAGATCCCTTCAGCTGATGGCAAACATGATCAATCCTGTGTGCTCTGTCAAGGCTCCCTGGGGTGAGGGTGAGGCAGAAGAGCAGACTGAAAGGAGGGTGGCGAAAAAGTGGAGGCCATGGAAGATGGGTCAAGTCTGAGATCAATGGAGCTGGCCACTGAGCTGGACCACCCAAAGGGCCAGGATGATGAGGACTGAAAGGAGACAACTGGATTTGACAATGAAGTTGTCATCAGGGGGCTGCTGAGAGCAGCTATGGAAGACTGAAGTGGGAGTGGGAATATGAATGGCGATTGCACCTTTCAAATCTTGACAATAAAAGCAAGAGGGAGATAGAGCAGGAGTTAGAATGAAAAGTTGGGAGTTTGAGTTTGTTTTTAAGAATGGGAGAGCTGAGCAAATTTTTTGGTAAAGAGAAAGGAAAATAGGAGAAGGAGACCTTGAAATGTGTCTGAGCAAGTGAACAAAACACAGTGGAGAGTTGAGGGAGGCTGGTTACAGGTGATGGGGGAGGAAGATCTGCCTGGTGACCTTGAGGTGGAAGGCCAGGGCACTGTGAGGGCTGAGGACGACCGAGGTGAGTGAGTTGGTAGACAACTTCATGAATTAGTGTCATAAAGGTTTGCAATATCCTTCCTAGGAAGAGGGGAAAGTAGCTGACTAGGATTGGGGAACAAGAGTAGCCCAAAGGGCCTGGCTAAGATTAGAAATCTCAAGGTTATGCAACACTGCTCTCATCAGCCAGGAGGTGAGGGAAACCAGACTTTCACTCTGGGCGCTTGCCAATGCACACTGCATCTGATCAGTCCAGGTCAAAGCAGGTAGGTAGTTAAATTGATCCCGGCTGGGATTCAATTAGGTACAAATGGCAGAGGAACAAAGGGCCAAAGGAAATGAATGGGCTGGTGAGAATGTCTTGGAAATGATTTCCCTAAGGAAAGGAAACAAAGCCAGGAAGGGTCAGGACGGCCCCAGGCGTCAGGCTTTTGAGAAAGAAGTTCCCCTGTGAGAAGTGGGGAGAATGCAAGCTAGCAGCAGAGAAGGCTAAGGTCTGGGTGGGGTGTTAGGGCTGGAGCTTCCAGGAGTGGAGCAGTTGTGTAGAGGGTGGGGCTCCTGGAAGTAGAATACTGATGTGCCGTGGGAGTACTGGGATTTGATGGGAAGGTGGGTATTTTGCAGGCGTCTTCCCTTTACTAGACCTCCTTGCGGCCTGATCTATAATCAAGGCCACCTTTTGTTTCCATAAAGAGCATGCCTGGCTTCAGCACCTCCCAGAAGCTGGACAAACTGGGAATGAGGGGTTCTAACACCTGTGAGCTAATCTTTGAAGACTGCAAGGTTCCTGGTGAGTCCGAGAAAGGGTTAGCCCCTGTCCTGACCCGTTCATAAGTTGAGAAAGTCCATCTCTGGGTTAGAGAGCCTCCCCATTCTTAGCTTACCAATGATTTGTGGCTAGATGGTGGGCCTGCCCACTGCTGTACTTGCCCACTTGCCCACTGACCCATATGTGTGGGACTCTGGGGCTGTTGGGCAGCTGTTTGCCCTGTATGCCTGACTGTGGCTGCAGTGAAAGGTGGTGTTTCCTATGTGGATAGCACACTGTGTCTAGGGTTGGATTCCAGTATCTGGAATAGAAAGATAAGATCTCTTGCCCACTAATGTCCTTCAGACATCCTTATTTGTATGTTTCCCTGTACATCCTATGTGAGATATTCATTAACAATGTTTAAAAACCACTCAAATACACTGATGGAAGCCAGACTCAACGAAGGGAAGGCATTTCAGTTTGAGTATTTTCTCCCCTGAAGTGTAACTGAAAATGTGACACTGTGGGAGAGCCAACACACCCTTCATGTGCTAATGAGACCAAGGACATAGATTTGATCACGGACTAGGTTTGCTCTGCACCTCAGTCATAGACCACCCCTCGCCCCCATGATCCACCACCTGAGAAAAGTGTGCTTTGGTTACGAAGAGCATCAAGGGAGTGGGGGATCAGTGCAAATCCTCCTTTGTAAGCAGGAAAACACTCCAAAGTCATCCAAGGTCCTGCTTCTGGGTGGAGAGGTGCTTAGCAGTTTCTGTCACTAGTATTGAATTGCCCATCTCCTGAACAATGACTCTTCCATGGACCACCCTTGGAGGGGAGGGGACGGGTAATATTGGACCAGGGCAAGGCTCAACCTGAGGGAGAGTAATTATGGACACAGGTGTAAAAATACTAGGAAGGGTTTTGATGACTTCTAGACCAAATTAGCCTTTCTTATATCCGATCCAAGGCAGCAGAGGAGGAGACCTAAGGATTGAGCCTTTGGGCCTTTGTGTCTGATCTTGTGGATGGTGTGTGTATGGAGGGGTGGGGGTGTCTGTCTAGCAAGCTCTACTTCTGACTGGAAGTAGTAAACTCCAACCTGTTCTCTCACCCAGAACCACCCTAGTTGAAGGTCAGGTGACATATTTTAGTGCCTTGTATGAGAGCCTTGGTACCAAACCTAGCAGCTTTTATAAAAATGAGGAGTCTGTGGACAGCCCTCTTCCCTCTGACCAGCACTTTTCCCAGCAGCTGACAACATCTTGGGCCATCTAAGTAAGGGCATCTACGTGCTGATGAGTGGGCTGGACCTGGAGCGGCTGGTGCTGGCTGGTGGGCCCCTTGGGTGAGTGTGAGGCTCAGGGTGGGGGTGGGGGAGCTGGGCTTTTAGCCTCCCTGGCAAACAGCAGCTGCAGCCTTCCCCTTGTGGAACAAGGGGAGCTGCCTCCACGCCAATGTACTCTCTTTCCTGGGAATAAAAAGAACCTTCCAGGTATAATTTCTTCACACGGAAGGGAAAGATCATTCTTTGAAAGACAAAAGGCCTGAGGAGCAATACCACGCAGTTACTCAGGATGTGAAACAGGACACCCAGGTTCTTAGGCCCCACTGCGCAGGAGTCTTGCCACTCTGTCTGGTCAGGGAGGGGGCGGGGGCACAAGTCCTCAGTGACTGAGCCGGGGAGACAAGTGTCCCTGTTCTCCTTCTCTCCTCCCTAGAACTCCAGCTCCTTGTCTCGCTGAACTGTCCCCCCCAGGCCTTTTCACGTTGGCATGTTGCCCCCCCCCCAGCTGGCAGCAGGGGAGACAGTGAAGCACCACCCATGTCTTTCTCCTTTCCACAGGATCATGCAAGCTGTCCTGGACCACACCATTCCCTATCTGCATATGAGGGAAGCCTTTGGCCAGAAGATTGGCCACTTCCAGGTGAATAGAATGCTTTGTTGAAATATGCTCTTTTATTGGGTTCAAGTTTTCTTTAACAAATGAGGGCATGGGGGCGTGTGCTATGGGCATTTACCAACCTTCCCCAGCAGAATGAGTTTGAATGTTTGGGATGCAGGCTTCTTCAGCATGCTACCTGGCTTTGGAAGTTGTCAGGAAGTTCATCACATGTCTCCTCACTTCCTGTTTGAGATGAATGAACTAAGCATTATAAGGCTGGAGGGTGAGGCGTGCAGGTTTGCGGAGGCATGGGGGAAAGGGAGCAGCATTTCCAGTCACACTTTCTGGTCTGAAGACACTGCAGGATGTTAATGAGGGTGGTGGGTGGAGGGCCATCTCCAGGTGCAGCAGCAGCCCTCTACCATCTCTCTCATCCTAGGCAAGTCCTATCTGCTCTCTGTGCCCTGATGTCCCCATTCTGGCTGTCACGTTGCTACTACTTATCTGCTTTTGGTAACTAGGGAGAGTGTCTGAGAGGAAAGTTGACTTGTGATCTCCCTTTGTGTCCAGTTGATGCAGGGGAAGATGGCTGACATGTACACCCGCCTTATGGCATGTCGGCAGTACGTCTACAATGTCGCCAAGGCCTGTGATGAGGGCCACTGCACCCCCAAGGTAAGGGCCAGCCCAAAAGGAGGCAGTAGGCGGGTTACTGGGACTCACTCTCTGGCTCTCTGCATGGCCATGACTGGGCTCTGCTGACGTGGGACCTCCTCCCACAGGACTGCGCGGGTGTGATTCTTTACACAGCTGAGTGTGCCACAAAGGTAGCCCTGGATGGCATTCAGTGTTTAGGTGAGTGCCCCCACCCCCCCCAGGGCTTGCCTGTTTCCAAGAGGTTTTCTGTTCACCCCTCACTCTGAGCTTCAGCTAGCTGCAGCTGAGCTGGCGCTGTTAGGCTGCTTCTTCCCCAGTTACTAGGAGAACATGGAAAAGCAAATGAGAAAACTGCTGGAGGCAGCAATGCCTCCCTCACATCTTCCTCACCTAGTCCTGTGGACACTGGACGGTGGAGAGAGATGCCTCAGAGGTGGGACAGCCTTGTTTCAAAGCTGCACAGTGGTTAAGAGCACAGACTGGAGCCAGATGGCCTAGGTTTAAATCCTGCCTTTACCACTCACCAGCTTTGTGACTTGTGCAAATTACTTGGCTTCTCTGGGCCTGGCACCCAGAGTGCTGTGCAGTGTCTCCTTGTTCCTCTTCTGCATGTTTGCCAGTGGTCCTCCCCCTCCTTCCTGCTATCCTCTGCACCATGGGGGCCTTCCAGCCTCATGTCCACTGCCCTCCCAAGTAAGGTATTCCCCATAACCCGCCCTCTCACCACCTTTTGCTGGTTCTCTTTGATCAGTCACTTCCTCTGGCCTGTTTCTGTATCCTTGGCCTTCTGTTTACTTCTCTTGCTTTGCCCACTGCTTTTCCTGTTGTCCTTTCTTCTCTGCCCAAATCCTGACTACAGGTGGCAATGGCTACATCAATGACTTTCCCATGGGCCGCTTTCTGCGAGATGCCAAGCTGTATGAGATTGGCGGTGGGACCAGTGAGGTGAGGCGGCTGATCATTGGCAGAGCCTTCAACATGGACTTCCACTAACCCCAAGACCTTCGCTCCATTTCTCAGTACCTAGAGGCCTTTGAAAGTAGAGGTGTGGCAGCTGTCCTCCCCTGCCTGAAGCAAGTTCTGCTGCTTGGCTGCCCTTCCTTGCATCAGCCCTCTGGCCTCTGTGTGAGGTTGAGTTCTCTACAATGGCTGCCAAGCAGTGGCCTCAGAGTCAGGCCAGCCACACCAACCAGCCTAGGAAAAGCATTCAATGGCTTAAAATGGACTTGGCAGGAAGCATGATGGCTTTTGTAAGGCTGTTGGGATGGGCTTCAGTGACCCTGTGCCCTCGCTCTCTAATTTCCAATCCTGATGCACCCACCTCCCAGGGTGGTCACGTGGGGCCAGGCAGGCAGTCACCTCTTTTTCTTGGCTGAGCCTCTGGCAGGGTGAGCCTCTACTTAATTACTTGAACGTGGTAGCCTCTTCCAGCAAAAAAAAACACCGAAACCTAGCCCTTGTTTGTGCTGATTTTTAGAGGCATCAGCACCCAGTATCTTGTGAGCAGGCACCCACTCTGCACAGCCCCTGTGTTCCTCCAGGGGCTTCATTCTTTAGGGCTGAAATCCCACCATTCTGGGGTGGAGCTCTGTGGATAGGCATCTCAGAACCTGTGCTATCTAGGCTACAGTGGGGCAAAGGTCAGCATGATTGTAAAGGATTAGTTTGACATTGGCTTCTGAGCACCTCTGAGCCCTTCAGCACTGCTGTGCCACCACCACCACCGTCATCCTGGCCATGTGACAGCCCACAGCTGACTGGGCAGCGGGCCTGTGTGGACTGGCTCAACTCCAGCCAAGGCTGCCTGCATACATTTCTCTGGACACCTTATGGCTAATTCTGTTACAACTGCACAGTGGCTGCTGCCATTTTGTATTAAACATATTATGAATCAGACCTGTCTGCGTCTACACTGGTGTTTTTGGGGAGAGGCAATTGACTTGCCTCCTGTCTGGCTCTAGCCCCATGGAGAGTGACTGGTCCAGGTCCTGCTCCTGCCCTCCAGTCTGCTCATTTGTGAAAGGGGGACATGGTGGTGGAATCAGCCCTTAGGAGAGAAAAGGTCTCAGCCTCCCTTTTCCAGATCTCCAGAAATTTTTAAAAAGAAGTTGGAAGTCCATAGTGGTGAGAGTGTTAGAGCTAGAAGGAAGTTCATAAATTTTTGGAAACTATCCCCATGTGTTTTAAAAGATCAAGACAGTTTGATTTTCCCAAGGTCAAAATAGGAAATCTAGAATCCAGAGCAGCAGAAATGGGGATTCTGAAAATGCCATCCTGGGGCCCCACTGCACAGCTGCCTGGCTAGAGCATAGAGAGGAACAGGTTTGGGTGGTTCCATTCCATCTAAGTAAGTTCCCTAAAACAACTGGTTTTCCTGGCTCTTAGCCCAGCGATGCCTCTTAATTTTTAGTCTTGGCCTATAGCCAAGTACTGTTCCACACCTATCCCAGCCCAGTTCCAGCTTGAGGGAGGAAGATCCAGGGCGTGTGGCACTGTCCCTTTGCTTTCCCCACTCTGCCTGCCTCTTGCTATGTTGATGAATGTGGCTAAAATGGTGGTCTTGCTGGGTTTAATGTGTAGCTGGAACAACAAGCCTGGAAACATTCAGAATGTGACAGAATGGGGTGTTTTGTCCAGCCAAGGTGGGCCCGGCAGGGGTGGCTCAGCAGTTGAGCATCGACCTAAGATCCAGGAGATCGCCGCTGTTCAGTTCCTGGTTAGGGCACTTGTCCAGGTTGCGGGCTCAATCCCTGGTGGAGGGGCCTGCAGGAGGCAGATGATCAATGACTCTCATCATTGATGTTTCTATCTCCCTCTTCCTTTCTCTCTCTGAAATCAATAAAAGACAAATAAAAATTTAAAAAGGTGGGTTACAAATCCTAACACCAACTTGGGGAGTAAATGATTGTTCTCCTAAAGCCAAAATAAAAAGTGTAGCTTGAGTCATGAATGGAAGAGCAGTGGACCCTTCCTCTGGTTCTTGTGGGAGTTTTTGGTGGTTTACATGCACATGCACTGTGCAACTACAGCATCAGCTGCCAGCCCTACTACTTCCTGGGGCTGCCTTTAATTCAACTCTGATTTTAGGCAGGTTACACTATCAGCCTAAGCTCCCCTGTTGACTACCACCCCAGTTTTCCTACTGCTCACCCTGTGGGATGGTAGTAGAAGCTAAGGAAATGGTTCTCCAAGTGTGGTCTGGGCATACCCTTTATGAGAATTTGGCAATCTGGAAAAAAAAAATGCAGATTCCCACACCTAATCACATCTCCAGGGGTAATTCTGAGGCACAGGTAAACTTTCAGAACAACTGGTCTATATGGGGTCTACAGGATGCTTCCCTGAGCCCTGAGTCCTAATTCTAAACTCATATAATCTAGTAATGGCAAACCCTTACCTATGCAGCCGTCTCAACTCATTTTGACATTAGCTCCTTGGTCTTCCTGACACCAGAGCTGGGAAGACAAGGTTGCACAAGGCAGTGGGAGTGGGGAGGTGAAAGGGGGCATAGAGGGGATAAACAATGGAAAAATAGAATAAAGGTTGCACAAGGGCCCCATTCCAAGGGACATGTAAGGTGAGTGGCTCTGAGGCACAGGAACAAACCCCAGACAGCCCTGCCCAGACGCTGGGTGGAACCAGAACTGGTGTCAACAGCATTGGGGCCTGGCGAGGGCGCCCAGTCCACGTCCTCCCCGGCGGAGCTCTGACCCAGGACTCAGGTGGCTGTTCCTGGTAGGTTAAAGGTAGGTTAAAGGTCCTCTGTTCCTCCCCGGAGGCACTGTGACCCGCGAAACGCTGCTCAAGCTCTTCCGCTTGGGCGCTGCTCCTAGAGCCCTGAGTGGAGCTCGCCTGACCCCTGCTGGCTGGCCGCAGGCGCGCAGAGCCCTCCACTCTGCCTTTGGACTGCTCTGGACTCGTCAGGGCTCTACAACGTTTTGTTTTGCCAAATGAGAACATTAAGCAGGGGAAACCTGTTATCCTTATCTTGTATCATTTCATACAAGAAAGGCCACTTTTGGCAATTAAAAGAAGTAGAAAGGACTTAGAAGAAAGGCCAGTGGTGGGTTTTTTTGTTGTTTTTTTTAAATTTTGTATGTTTTATGTTCATGGGTTTTGAAAGACATTTTAAAACATTTTAAATTTAAAAAAAAACAACCCTCCTTGTCTCCAATGCTTTGCCCCTGCACTTTTGAGTCGTTGAGGTTTCTTTAGGTAATTAACTTCGTGCCTCTGATATGCTTACTTAGTGATTTAATTGCAGACACTTCTAAGGATAGTTCTTTAAAATGCATACATTTGTCTTATAAGAAGCTCATTACATGCCCATATTTTCCCCACTTTCTCAGGCCAGTCATGTCCACAGGCCAGAGTTTGGGAGTCCTGGGATCAGATGGTGCAGAGTCCCATCCACATTCCTAGCTGTCCCCTGACTCTGCCCACACTTAGTGCTCCCCAGAGCCCAGAGCTACGCTAGTTCCAGGTGGGAGCCCACCTCCCCGTGTGCTCCACCTGGTCACTCCAGCAGAGAGCTGTTTTCGAAGCTGGCCTCTTTTATACCCACCGTCCACCCACTCTCAGACACAGCTAGCCTGTCTAAATTTCTTGGATCCATAACAATCTGACAACTTGCCTGCCTTCTTCCAATCCATGTCCCTCAACCCTTCCTCTATACTGAGCCAGAGTGAACTACCAAGCTCCCCCTAAACACTTCAGGGGCTCCCGGCATCTATAAGATCTAAGATTTGGCAAGGCAACTAGGACTCTGACCTGCCCCAGCCTTCCCCTCCTGCCGCTCCTCTCCCCATCCCTGTGAGGACTTGTGTTCAGTTGCAAATAGTACTTACAGTGCTGTTTCTCACCCCTGTGCCTTTGCCCCAGCTGGTCCCTTTGCAGAGGATGCCCATCTTAGCCCTTTGCCTTGCCCTTGCCTCTTCATCCCTAATGCCTCAGTTCAGGAGCTGCTCCCTCAGGAAGACCTCTCCAGCCTTTCCCCACTGCTTGTCCCCATCCCGCCCATCCCAAGTGGGGCCCCTTCCTGCCTCTCCCTGGCCATATCTACATCAGTGGGCTTGCCCCCCTGTTATATTTATCTCGTTTATATGTCTGTTTCCCCCTAAATCAGCCTAAGAACTTAAGGACTAGGATTGTGATTTAACTGCTTTTATATGTTCACCATCCAGCATGGCTCCTGGCATATAATAAGTGCTCAACAAATGTTTATTGAAAGAGCAGATGGGTTTCATGTGACGCTTAGCTCACATTTTGCTGGTACCATAGTTATTTGTGTATGTGATCACCTCTGAGTATACTGTAAGATCTTTGAGGTCAAAGACCATTTCTCACTTATCTGAATCCTCCCAACAGCACCCAAGGCTCACAGAAAGCCCTCCGTGGCAATGTTCATGCTGAATGAGTGAAACAACAGGTGGGCCGGAGCCTTGGCCTAATCCCCAAAGTTGGCAGGAACAGCAGAGCCAGCCGGCTCGCCTGGCCCTGCTTTCCCCAGGCCTTCTCACCCTGGAGTAGCCAGAGTCCAGCTGCAGAGGGGAGGCCCTCACCCCCCAAATTCCTCTCACCCACTCAGAAACAGAAAGGAACTGTGATGAGGAATACTGGCCCCTCTCCTGCCAGCTGAGGACAAGATTGGGGGTTGGGGACAAAGCGAGCAGAGTTGGGGCACACATCCTTTTTTCCTTGTGTTAAGTGTGCAATATATACAGAGGACTATGTAACAAGCGTGTAATGCAAAGAACAATAATAAATTCCAATGTACCCAGCACCCCAAGTCAGTGTGGAGTACATTCCAAAAACCTTAGAGCTTGTGCCCCTCCTGACACATTTTCCCCAAATGAACCACCATGCTGAATTTAGTGACAATCCTTTCCGCACTTTTCTTTATGGTTTCCTACCTCTGTGTATATTCCTAAAGAATACTGCTTAGGTTGCCAGTTTTTAAATTTTCTCTATTGGATTCACATTTAATATATTCTTCCGTGTCTTGTTTCCCTGTGGTCATCATTGTATAGATTTTAAAGATTTCTTCATATTAATGAGTAGAACTGTAATTTGGTCAATGTTTTTCTTATATAGTATTCCATTGTTGTGAAAATACTACGATTTAATATCCATCCTAAGTGTTCATGGTCATTTGGATTGTTACCAGTTTGGGAGTACTCTAAAACATGTGTCTTCTGGTTTATGTGTGCAAGAGTTTCTCCAGGTACATTCCCAGGAATGAAAGTTCTGTATTATAGGGTATACACCTGATCGACTTTACTAAGTAATTTCAAACTGTTTTACAAAGTAGTCGTGCACCTACATTTTTTTAGAATAATGCCAGCACAGGTGACCTGGGCAGAAGTGGCATGCCAGCCTCAGGGCCCAACTGCATGAGCTTAGTTTCAGCAATGGAGAGAAGTCTTATGGCAAAGGAGTGTGTATCACTGCTTCCCTGTTCACGCCTATCAACCGCATGGTCAACAAACCTTTACAGACAAGCTAAGAGCCATGCACTGGGTAGGGGGCTGGGAGACAGCACTGAGTTAATGCAGAGCAGCCTGAAAGAGGAACAGTTGTGTTCCCACTTACTCTGTCAGGCAGCCAGACACAGCTTTGCCCTGAAGTACATAGGAGAGTAAGGGCAGGATGGGTAAGTGGGAGCTTCTTGAAGAGAGGAACAATATTTCAGGCTCAGAATATCTCAATGCAGGCAATATCTTCCTTCTCAGAAGACAGGGGATCAGTGGAGGAAGGACAGAGCTGCCCTCACCACCACCAGAGGGAGAGAAGGAAGAAAGAAAAGATTGGGGCTCTCTGAAACTCAGAGATAGACATCTCTCCATCCAAACACACCTGTCCCGTTGTGTCCATCCCAGGGAAAACAGCGCACACAC